AATGCGACCTCTTTGGTGAGCAATTAAGCTCTCTGATGGTTCTTTTTTTTTTTTTTTTTTTTTACCTCCATAGAAAAAATACATAAACTTTTAACTCTTATTTTTACCGGTTCTTGCCGTGAGTTTAGACGTCTTGTTTTGTACATGTCTTTCATGGGGGAGGGTTGCTTTTAACCCTTGACAGGAATTAAAGACAAACGCCTTTGCTGCTGCTCTTGGTTTGTCTTTATTGGCAATCATAAAGAGTTTGAAAATGTTATCTGGTTCGGTAGCGCTGCATTTTCTGCAATGGCCATAAACATGAACATTTATGATGACAGGGTTTCTTCCTGGGATGGCAACGGTGTGGATCAGTTTAACAATCATTCAGGGAATTTATGTCAAGTCTCGTTAAGATTACTGCATAAAGCTGCCCTTTCTACTGGGAACATGTGATTAGTGGGGATAAAAAAAGACTTTTTTTAAGTATTTAAAACATCAAGTTAAAGGTTGTTTGGACTGATAACCCAGTTTTACGTATTGGTCTGATAAATAAAACTGGGCCGATATTTATAGTTAATGTTTTTGTTTCAGGAGGATCAGTCATGTTGTGTTTTAGTCATGTGACATTGTGATGTCAATGTTTCATGGTGTGCTAGGAGGAGGGAAGTATATCGGCCATGATGGCAATATTAATATCAGGTTAGGATATTGCTGCAGATTTTCCTATCTGTGCGTTCTAGTTGAAATAGTTGACAGTAAAATTTTAGACTTTTGAAATGATGTGTAGAAACCTAAGTCTAGCTTATTGAAATCATAAAATTGAACAGTCATCAAGGTTTTGTTTCTTTTAGGCTTTCTTGGTTGAATTTGTGTTTTGTGTTGCAGCTTTACCCGTCCTCAGGTCCGAGGTGTTAAACCAAACAGTTCTGAAAGGCAGTTTTCCAGTAAAAGGTGCCTGGCCTGGTTCCACAAGTATGCTGGTCCTGATAAGGTGGTTGGTCCAGAAGCCATGGAGAAGTTCTGTGAAGACATTGGTGTGGAACCAGAGAATGTGAGTCAGACTGGGATTGAACCTGGATCGTCTTAATTTACCACTGCACTTTAACTGGTTTAAATATTCTAACAACTCTACTTGGTTTTGTTTCAGATTATAATGTTAGTTTTGGCCTGGCATCTAGAAGCTGCAAAAATGGGATACTTCACTAAAGACGAATGGCTGAGGGGAATGACAGTACTACAGTAAGTGCTTTTTGTTTTACTGCTTCATTTTTGACTATAACTAACATTTATGAATGCAACATTTCTGTGCTTTTCAGATGCGACTCTACTGAGAGGTTACAAAGCAAACTCGAATACTTGCGCAGTGAGCTTAATGACGCTGTAGCCTTCAAAAATATCTACAGATATGCCTTTGACTTTGCCAGGGTAAGTCTGTTGATGCATGCTGCTTTTAATTTGCTGCTACACAATGAAATCACTTTAAAGGGATGTACAGGTGTTTTTGTCAGGGCTTTTAGTTATGCCTTAAAAGCACGCAAACTAACATGAGCTTAAATCAGCACGGTCAATCTCGTAATAGTTAATCATATGTAGGAGTAAGTTGGTATTAAACTCATCTACTCTGCATCTTTTTGAAAAAAATCAGTATAGTTATAGGTGATGCGTTTAGTTGAAGGGGATTATAATTTGGTCAAAGTTGTCTCTGCTTTGTAACCAGATTGTTTTCAGATTTGTTAAAAGCACTTCTATTCACTTACATAAGCTTTTCCTAATTCCAACATCATTGAAACAATATTGTCCTGCTGCTTGGGGCAAACATGGTTAAATATGTGATGTACACAGATTTTTACCTCTTCAAATTAGAAATGACTTATTCCTGATGGCACTGACGTGAAGAATTAAAATGGTGAGACGGTTTAAGAACCTAGGCTTTCAATTCAGTGCTTTTTGTTTACAGGATACAAACCAGAGGAGTTTGGACATGGACACGGCGACATCCATGTTGGCTCTGCTGCTGGGAAGGACCTGGCCTCTTTTTCCTGTCTTCCGCCAGTTCCTGGAGGTAAACTGCTGTGCAGAACCAGCGAAGGGAATGTGACAAGTCTTTGTACTTTGGGAGATGAAGAGCATAGATGGAAGAACTAGAGCTGTTTGTGCTGGACAATAAAGTCATTTTGTGTTTTTGATTCAGTTCTATGATCTACACCAAGGTTCCAGTTCTTTACCAGGGATGGTGCTGGATCCAATTGTCTGGTTCTGTAAAAGAACCTCATTGTTTTATTCACTATCCCAGAGCTGAAATGGAGCAACATCATATTAAAGTGTAGCTCATTTATTGCTTTAACCTCCCTATTCACTGTGTGATGGTAAAGGATAGTGGCACGTTTTAGTACAACTAAAAAAAGTTTTCCCTTTGAACAGATCTCCTAATAACACTATCTACTTAATTAGCACCTTTTTATACACATATTTCTGTCAAGGTGACTCGATTTAAATAAAACGTGGAAAACCTGAGTGTAAGCTTATCTTAAGGAGCAGGATTTATTAACACAATGTGGAGATGTTAAAGGGCAGACTGTGTTAAAGGACTCTAACATAAGTTTAAGAATAATCACTCACTCAATCCCACTGCATGAATCAGCCTTGGTGAGATGAGACAAAATCTTCTTTTCCTAATTGTTTCCTCATTAGACACAGGGTTTTTATTGTTTTAAATGTTGACCTATGGATAATAAAAATAAGTCCTGAGAATATATATGGTCCGGGTTCAGTAAAATAGTAGATTATTAATTTTAATTCACCATTTTACAATATAGTGACCAGAAATACTTTTCCTGTTAAAAAAATAAAACCTTTTTTTTTTTTTTTTTTGTATGTATGTATTTTTTTTAATAGTCCAGTCAGCACATTGTCCTTTATTTGGTTCATTTGTTTTTAAAACCTCGTCTTCTCCAGCGACTCTCCTCCTGCTCCGTCCTTCTTCACTAATGACCACACCCTTTATCTTCCACAGCAGTCAAAGTATAAAGGGTTGAATAAAGACCAGTGGTACAACGTTCTAGAGTTCAGCAGGACCATCAACACAGACCTCAGTAACTACGATGAAGACGGTGCTTGTGAGTATCAAAGAAATTCACCAACTTAGATTTTGGTGCTGCTTCAAAATGAAAACGGATGATAACAGGACTTTACATCAATTTAAACTTTATTTTCTCCAGTGAGACTTTTTTTGATTAGGCTTTATTCGGATTGTGAAATGAACAGTGCTGTGAATGAGCATTCGTTTATTGTCCTGCAGGGCCTGTGCTGCTAGATGAATTTGTGGAATGGCAGAAGACGAGGTCAGCATCTAGGCTGCCATGCATCACCAACAAAAGGGAAGGCGAGCGAAAACTAACCGCAGAAACTAAACAGCTGACATGAGAACAAAGGCCGATGCTGGTCTCACAAACGCAAAAAAAAAAAACCCCAAGTAACATAAAACCTGGACTGCAGACTAATCGCCGTGGACTCTACCCTCAACATCCTGTCAGAGATCCTCTGCCCTCGGTAAACAGTTGCTGGGAGTTTGTTTCTCTCGGAGTAGAAGTTCATATTTGTTTTCCTGGTGTTCATTTGGAGAAAATCTGGGGAAATGAAATCTGCTGAAAGAATTGTGGAATTTGCTCCCTGGTTATTGTTTTTGTTTCGTTTATGTGTCTTGTTTAGATGTTTTCACTGTTATTAAAAGGAATTCAAAAGTATCAGCTGCTATTTTATTACAGTTTGAAATTATCACCAAACAAACAAGGGCAACATAAACAAAACATCTCACACTAGAATTCCTGGTGAATTTAAAGGAGAAATGAATTCATCCATTAAAAAATATAAAGTTACCAAAACATGAAAATAATAGCATACTTCCTAAAGGATTCAAAGTTTTCCTGCATGTGTTTAACCAGTCTCTTTACATTCATTGTTTAGTTATTGCCTTCTAGATAGCTGAGTCAACAGATTAATCTTCATCCTTTGAGACACATTTCTTAAATCTTAACAGATGGAGGAAGTTTTTAAAAGCATTGCCTTTTCACAAATGCTTCAGGTTTATTAGAAATGTGGTTAAATAGGTTATTTTAAAGTAAATTAACAATTAAGCTGATGGCTTTGGTCCATTAGGTATTGAAGGTTTACAGTTAGAATATATTGTACTTGGTGTCCTATTAGAAGTCCTGGGTGTACAATTCTGGTCACTGCAATATTTTTTAAACTATTCAGACAGCTGAGAGAGAAGGAAATGTGTCACCTTCTCTGACATGGACAAATTTACCTCATATGAACAAAATTATCTTGGAAGAAAGGCCCTAATATATCATCAAAAATTTTACATTAATTCCCATCTCATAGATGTAAATTTACACACTGCAGATGTGTCAAATAACGAAGTACAAATACTTTGTTACTGTACTTAAGTACACTTTTTAGGTATCTATACTTTACTCCATTACTTATTTTCATTCCCATTTCTGACTTCTACATATTACATTTTCACACAAGTATCTGTACTTTCTATTCCTTATATCTTTAAAACAAACGTTACTCGTTACTCTTGGCTTCGGTTTAATGTTTATATTTTCACATCATGTGCTGCATCCAATGTAGATCATTGGCACCATCAACACCTAGTGAAAACTAGTGCAAACGTGAATTGTCTAAACCATGCTACAATGTAGGATTTAGAAAAAGATGTTGAAATGTCTGAAAGGTTGGACGCAGGCGAGACCGTATCGGGAGATGGAGACCAACAAGACCTCCCTCATCCTTGGCCCTATCTCAAAGAATTTTTCGAAATTGTCGAAAAATTGAGCTTTCAATTTAGTGGCACCTGGCTGTTTTTTTTAAAGGTTACTTTATACTTTTAAGTATTTTTTCGGAGCACATACTTTTTCACTTTTACTTGATACTTCAACTTTTACAGAGTGTTTTTAAACTGCAGTTTCTATACTTCTACTTAAGTAACAAATGTGTGCAGTTGTGACACCACTGCAGACTCGTAATCAGTTAAAAGATCATGGAAGTGCGATTTAACCTCTCCTCAGAGGTTTTTTTTTTTTTTTTCTCCTGAAATGCAATGCAAAATGAGATGTTTTGAAAGGATAGATTATTTGAGTCAAGGATAAACCCTGCCTCCCCTTTCTCTCAGGTTCTCATTCTAACAATTAACTATATTCTATAAACCTAAAGTAAATCCCTACTGCATGAATTTATAATTTACACATGCACACATCTCTTCAATATGGTTGCATTTTATTTCTCACCTGAAAATGCCTTTTTAAGCACTCATTGAAGACAGAGCTAATGCAGTATTTCCTATGTACCTTGTTAAAAGACTTACACAAGAATAAACTCCTAGACCGAAATTGGCACTTCCATTGATATTCTACTTTGATTAGATACAAGTGTAAAGAACTGACATGTATTTTATAGCTTTTTCTGCAGGTTTTCCATTCAGTCCCAAAGGCTTCTAAATCTAAGGTTCTGATTCATGTTTATAATCTTTTCATCCATTAAGATGCGACTCTAAGGAATATATATAATGCGGCGGTGTCAAACTATGAGTCCAAAAGTGCTAGAAAGTATAATTAAGAGCTCCACCATTTTAACGTTTTTCTTTAATTCATAAAATCTGCTCAACAAAAAAAATATTTGAATAAAGGTAGATTTTTTTAGCAAATTAAGTAATTTTACATTTTAATTTATAACACATTAGTTGTGTGTTTTTTTAAGAAAACCCCATCATTTATTTTTAGTCATTAGAACAGGACTTTTGTTGATCTTCCTTTAAAAACTCCTTAATTTAACAGATTTTACCAAACAGGTTCACAAAAATATCTTCAGTAAATACACTGGATGTTCATGCCTCTGAAATTAAATAAAAATCTGCTGATAAATAAGTACTTGTTATTGTATCTTCCATTTTTAGACAACTTTAATGTGTAATTATTAAAAGCAGACGATCCTCCAATAGTGTTGCAGTCAAAGGCCACAAAATCATAATATAAATGTGATAATTTCAATATAAACTGTTTCTATGAATTATTAAAATGAATTATTTTTCAGAAGTGTGTATTCATGAGGATTCTAATTAACCTCTCAGCTTTAATGTCAACACTCAGTGGGCGGGGCTAAGAATGCTGTAAACAGGATGATTGGTCTGGAGCTCCATTATTGTACACCTTGAACAATCAGTAGCTAAGAACTGTTACCTGTTTAACTTGTTTGTTACTGTTATAATTCATAGTAGACTGTAGTACAAGAAACAAAATGTTTAAGGATTTCACCACTTTAGTAAAGAATAATTTCATAAGTTTACATTAAAGACATTTATTTTATTTCTGTCTAAACCTATATACTCTAATGGGGGCATAGTCCCTCTCTCCAGCTGTGAGAGGCCGGTGACACCCTGAGTTTATTGCTTTTTTTAACTTGGCAGACATCTTTAAAATGATTTGACCATTGGCAGTTTCTCAGACAGCAGACTTTGTGTTTGTCTCTGAGGTCTTTTTCCTCTCCACGAACAGCCTCCAGTCTGAATGGTTTTCTTAAATCTTCATGTGGAAGCCCTGCTTCTCCTCGCCTTGCTCCTTCCCCGACTCCATCGGCCCTGTGGAGGCTACTGCCATGATGGCGTTCAGGCGCGTTAGAGAAAGGGAGCGATGTTTGAGCCTGGGGGCAGGTTCTGGAGCCTGGGGGGCAGGATCTGGGAGGTGGCCGTATCTCTGGCCGTCATCGTCATACTGGTATAAACGGATAACGCGGCTCCGACGACGGCGGGAAGACGACGTTGAAGGCTCCTCTTCGGCTGTGTCGTTCTCGCTTTTGTTGCTCTTCTCATCATCCGTTTCCGTGGGCGACTGGGCAATCTCCTCATCCGTTTGTTGTCCTCCATCCGCCTCTCCGCTCATCTCCTCTCTTCTGCTCAGCTCCCCTGCTCCACCTTTCTTCCCCATTCTTGAGACCCTGCTTGCTGCTCCAGCCTCCTCTAGGTCTTCACTTTTGTCTTCCTCTGTTTCACTACGACTCCCTTCATCTTGCACATGGAAAGAAGGTTTAGCAGACTCTCCCCCCTCATTTTCTTCATCCTCACAGCCTTCCTCCTCCTGGTTGTAATCACATCCTTCCAAGTATGCAGCTCCTTTCTGTTTCTCCTCATCTCTGTTCCGGAAGCTTCTCTTAGGTTTGGCAGGTGGAGATGGTGTTGTAAGGAAAACTGGTGTCTCTGTGGTTCTGGACGGCGGAGCATTATGCTGCCTTGTTTCAGTCCTAAAGGCATGGCTATTATACATGGGAGGCAGGGTTGTCATGGTGACCCGGGAACTGTCTGGCACATCAGGCTGCTGTTGTCGCTTCTTTCGTGACATCCTGACCCTGAGTGCCTGTAAGCATCTGAAAGGAATCAATCTTTGGGTTAGTAAATGTATTGACGTCTCTCAGTCACCCTCAATCAGGTTTGTTTCAGGTTATCATCTCCTGCCTAGCAGTGAGACATATTTAGTAATATTTATTAATATGAACTTTTGGCCTTTAGCATCATGATCACTGGGACTTACCGCAGTATATCCTTGTTTTTAAACATTGTCACACTTACTAACAATAAAATAATTAGGTTCTTCCAATAAAAGTATGTGGTTACTTTTTTTTAAATCATATGAAAGAAGGGGTGTACCTACCTACCTACCCACCCACCTACCGATCCACCCACCCAAATCACAATGAACTGGAACAACTTAGACTAATACTTTTGAATTGCATCCATCATTCTTTTCATTTTTTTAACTCCAACCAATATACAAACTACAAATAGGAGAGAAAAGGCTTATAATAAAATCTGAAGAAAATATTTTTTGATAAAATACCAAAAAATCACATTCCTTGTTCCAAACCCACCTGAGAACACGAGACCGTAGCAGAGCTCCAGCGCTGAATCCCACCAAAAACGTCAGCAGCACCGATGCCGCCACCGCTCCGGCAAAAGTCTCACCTGAAACCACAGCTGCATTCTTCTCTGGGAAACCTGCGTTCCTCCTGAACCTGTGTGCAGAACAACCGTTGCCGCGCTCATCCTCATCCGCTACGTTTTGGTGGCTCAGACCTACATGCAGCTCATAGGGCCACAGTGTGGATCCATCCAGGTGAAGCAGGATGCAGTAGTACAGTCCACTGTGATGGATGCTGGAGTTTGGGATCACAAGATGCCCATCGAGGTGAATAAACGCTGCGTCCAGCTTAGACTTTGAAGAGGAACTCTGGAGGTCACCAAATGGGGTGTGCCAGAATTGGACCACACCTACAACAAGAGACAACATATTTTTCTTGCCTTTTTAATTTTGCTGCTTTTTCACAGAGGAATTCAAGAAATAAATGTGAGATACATCAAATCAAATAATAGTTTATAAATTATAATGGTAAATTAGAAAACTGATCAGAAAATAACAAAATAACAAAAAAAAAAAACGCCAAGTGCAAAATAAGCAGCTGCCACTGATGCCCTTTTTAGTCTTATGACACTTTCTTTGCAGAGAACAATTTGTAAAAAGGTTAAAAGATAAATCACCCTGCTGCTTATATAGAACAGTAAATTCTCTTTTTCACAGAATGTAGAAGTCGGCTCTAAAAATGATATATATATTTTTTTTATCTTGAATAAGTTACATATAATGCACTAAGATTAAAATGTATTTTTCCCCTTCTTAAAAGTAAAAAAAAAAATAAAGTAAGTCATTTTACTTACCTGCGCCAAGTCAATTGCAAACATTTATTTTACGCTTCTCCTCTTACTTTTCATTCAGTTTTTGGAGTTCAAGTTGTCTGCTTTGTGTTAAAACAGCCTATTTTATTTGCTTTATTCTAAAGAGCCTTTTTATACCTGAATGATTCAAAGCTTAGAATTAAATGGCTAAGTAATAAAGATTACTCTGAAAGTGATTTAGGAACTTGACAGGACTAAAACTTCACAGAAAACCTTGGACCAGTTTACAAGGGAAGGTCTGATTAGCAGGAACCAAGAACTGTTTTCAAACTATTACTGACACCATGTAGGCTGTTCATAAAATATTATCAGATGAAATCCTCACCTTCATATTTTCCGTCTCCACAGTGTAAGATCAGCTCTTCCTCTGGTTCACTTTTGACCCTGCAGGTTGACTCAAAAGTCACNAAAGTACTCCAGAGTGTTGTTCAGCATGGGGGTGAGTAGAAAATGAAGGCTAATCATGTTTTGGGTGTACTATTCCTTTAAAGCAGATCTGAACCATTGGACTATCATTGGACTCTGGCCTCCAGGCCCACCCATTAGCACTGACACATGTTTAATGAGACTATGTGCTATGGGAGCTGGGAGTTTTCTACAGTTTTAAAATCAGGGAACAAATCATGGGTGTTGAAACAAAATAAACAACTTGACAATCTGTTGCGAAATGGGAGCAAAACATTTTTTTTTTTTGTAAAAAAACATGTATTTTTATTACAATTCTAAAGAAAGAAAATCCAATAGCATGACGATTCAGAGCTTAATAAAAACCAAAAAATGGCCCTTTATTGTTAAAATTTTGACAAAGTGACTATAATAAAGGACTAATTAGCTGTATTTATCAAGTCCAGTAAACTTTGATCAACCATAGCACAAAATCAAATCTTAAATTTAAACTGGATATTTGTAATGTATTAACAAATCATATCAAAATACTGTTTGATTTGTAAAACCTTCTTCATTCTAAAAATAAAAACACAAAAAATTTGATTTTAGAGCTTTTTTGGTATTTAATAAAACAAATAAAAAACAAGAACATGCAGACAACTCAAACATGGACAGTGTCATAGTTTTGTCCAAGTTTAATTATATTGACGAAATATTTTATATATTTAGTTTTCGTTGGTCTTATTTCGATTCTTGTGTTCTAGTTATTTTTGATTGTATTTGAGTTCTTAGATATTTCTTGTTTGCCCTCTTGTGTCAGTCTCCTTCTCCCTAGCTCTCTTCTTGCCCCTGTTCACACCTGCTCCTAATCTGCTAATTAGTCTGGTCTTTGATTGTCACTCCCATATAATCTCCTGTTCAGTCACTCTTTGCTGGTTTGTTGACATTTCTTTGTCACCTTAGTGTTTTGAGTATTCCTGGTTTTCAGCATTTTGTATTTTTGTGGATTTATATTTTTGGATTTTTGCTTCTGTTTAACTTTTGTTTTTAAACCTTCAAGTAACCACCTTTGTGTCTGCATTTGGGTCCTGTCAAACCTCCACCCTCACTGTGAAAGACAGGATTATTCTGAAATAGTTTTATTTGAGTCTTCTAAATAAAATATGTTGTACAAATCTTAGGCTGTTATATCTTGACCTAGCAATGATCAAAAGTTGGTACTGTACATGCAGCAGGATGTCCCACGCCAAGTGCAAAATAAGCAGCTGCCACTGATGCCCTTTTTAGTCTTATTACATTTTCTTTGGAGAGAACAATTTGTAAAGAGGTTTAAATATAAATTCCCTGCTGCTTATATAGAAGAGTATATTCTCTTTCACAGAATGTAAAAGTCAGCTCTAAAAATGATATTTTTTTTTATCTTAAAAACATTACATATAATGCACTAAGATTAAAATGTATTTTTCCCCTTCTTAAAAGTAAAAAAAAAAAATTGTCATTTTACTTACCTGCGCCAAATCAATTGCAAATATTTATTTTACGCTTCTCTCTAACTTTTCATTCAATTTTTGGAGTTCAAGTTGTCTGCTTTGTGTCAAAACAGCCTATTTTATTTGCTTTATTCTAAAGAGCCTTTGTTATGCCCTAATGATTCAAAGCTTAGAATTAAACGGCTAAGTAATAAAGATTACTCTGAAAGTGATTTAGGAACTTGACAGGACTAAAACTTCACAGAAAACCTTGGACCAGTTTACAAGGGAAGGTCTTATTAGCAGGAAACAAGAACTGTTTTCAAGCTACTACTGACACCAGTAATACTGGCTGTTCATAAAATATTATCAAATGAAATCCTCACCTTCATATTTTCCGTCTCCACAGTGTAAGATCAGCTCTTCCTCTGGTTCACTTTTGACCCTGCAGGTTGACTCAAAAGTCACCGATCCCCGACCAGAAATCCGGCTTCCTGAATTCACTGAGCCAGCCAGAAGAGCTATGAACGTTAACCACCTCATAAACATTTTAAACCTGTGGGAGAAACAAAGTCAGCTGCGTTTTTATGTGCCACACAAAGTGAAGGAGATTAAGAATGTGATCCAAGCAGCTTTCCTGTTAAACACACAAAAACAACCCTATAAAACAAAACTAAAAACAGCCACATTAAATTTGGAATACAATGTTCAGGTTTGTTACAACTGCCCGTGATTTTTCTTGTTCTGTTGCCTTCAAGTAGAAGTGATTATAGCAACTTTAAGCTTGTTTAAACTAAAAATATCTGTTTATTTAATCTCAAAAAGTTAATCCAGGAATTTAAGACATAAAAACAGCTTAGGAAGAAATTAGCTTACCCCACAGAGACAGATATTTCATTCCTTTGAGTGTGAAACCATTGCCTCTGATGGTTGAGATTCTAAGTTTCCTCCGGCTGAGTGTAAAGTGCAGCTCTTCACATGACAGTGGGGATGTTTTCTCTTAAGATGTTAAAGATTAATAGCATCAGCCGCTGTTTCTCGACAACAGTAGCCAGACTGAACAGAGTAAGTGGCTAAAACATTGTAGATAGATGATTGGCATCTTTCTTTCTACTACTTTGAGCATTATTTAATTAAGGAATAGCCTTACAAAGCTGTTAACAGCTTAAAAGCTGAGTTTGCATGATACAGGCCCTTTAATGTGAATTTACCACGGTATTAATAACATGAATTATTTGAAGTTAAATAGATGTGGCTTCAGGCTGTAGTTCATTAAAGGGCCGAGATGATCCAGTAATTTTTAGAGAGATTTGGAAACATCTAGATAAACTGAGTAACAGGTCGTCTGTAGTTCTTTAGGCTCTTAGCAGCACAGATTCAACCTGTTTTTTTTTTTAACATAATCAAAAATGAGTCAACTCTGAATTGGTCTGAGGTTGTAAACTGAATTCTTGGTTTCAAAAAAGCTGCTGTGAGTTAGTTTAATTAGATCGGAATAGCTTCGATTAGTCACCATGACAACAGGCGACAGGAAGTGCCTATATAACACAAATGGAACTAGACCTTGACAAACTTTATTGTCATTTTGTATACAGTGTATACATATTTTGATGCATACTGCTTCAAAAGTGAATGAGAAGCTTAGCAGTGAAATGAACATTTCCATTTATAAAGTGCAGCAGTGATCAAAAAGTAAACAGTGTAGGAGAGACATGATCCAAAAGGCATTGAAGTGGACGGTTCAGAGCAGTGCAAAATAAATGATTCAATATGGTGCAAAAGGCAGTAGAAACACTGATTTGAGTTCTAGTTAAAAGGATTTGAAAATTGGCCATGTAGTGTCAATATGATGTTTACAAGTGTGATGCAGTCTTGATTTTTGACTTAATTAGAATTTCAACAGTTCAGCAGTCTTATGGCAGCGGGGAAACAGCTGTTGCAGAACCTGCTGGCCCTCCATTGAATGCTGAGAAGCCTCTTTCCAGAGGGCATAAGGCAGAACCCTCTGAGCCCTCTCTTCATATCACCCGAATCATACAATTCATCCAGTCAGCTGGTCTCTCAATGCAATTGATAACATTTTCTCAATTAGAAAACAGGCTTAAGTCTTGTCCTGCTGGCACATACTTTGTGGGACAAACTCTAGACTCCTGGAAGGCTTGCAGAATGGTGTGTTTTACGATGCTGTCAGTCAAGGACGTGGAAGACATATACATGTTTGGACTTAGGATACTCAGATATCATCTGTATGGATTACGAGGATACCTGATGTATCTACAATTATGGAGGATGTCGGCGACAGTTGATGCGCTCACAAAGGCTGTGAACGAGCAGGACTGTGAGCTGAGCCGTATGCTGGGTGCGATGGAACGGCAACCTGGCTGTGGTGGTTGACCTCAAAGGTGAGATGGGATAATATCTTGGATGTGCATGCTCGCTTCAAGGCAGAAAAGTCCAACAAGTTTGGAATACTGGATTCGCCATTAGGAGCACAGCGACAAAGACTTCAAGGCAGGTGAAAGATTCTGTGCAGCTTGCTCTTAAAACAAGTTTATTCTGGACTTCGGCCGGCCCCTTATCAAAACTCCGCTGGATGTTAGGGCGGAAGAGCCCAAAACTCAGATGGGGGCGAGTGGGAGGTGAATCTTCTGGGTAATTTTGTCTTCGGGTGTTGCCAGGTTTGAAATGGCAACTGGGTGCTGGTTGAAAAACAACTCCATCAACACAGAAATTGACGATGTTCCTTCTTCTCTTTTCTTCCTTCTCAGCAGACCTCTTCTTGTTGGTTTTTAGAAATGCCCATCTGGGATAACTCCAGATGTCCTAATGTGTCCCTGTTCTCTCATCCTCCCTCTGTTGATGGTGGGAATGGTTTCTGCTCATGTCTGGAGGGTTCTGATGATGCCTAGTTTGTGTTCCAGTGGGTGGCGTGAGTCAAAAGGGAGGTACTGGTCGGTGTGCAGGTTTCCTGTAAACTGAGTTGTCTGTCTTCCATGATGTGAACCATGCAGTCCAGGAAAGCAAGGCTGTCATCTTTCACATCTTCCTGTGTGAACTGGATGTTTCTGTGCACTGCGTTGTTGAAACGACTTCTAGAAAACCTCACATCCAGCTGCCAAGACCAAATTTTTTCAAGCATGAACATGACCTTGATGACTGAGAATCTTCACAGACATTTCTGCTGAAATGTTTGTCTGGTGTTTATATGTGCGTTTTTGTGCTGAGGTGCTTTTTTGATATCTTAAACTGTACCCTGTTAAGGATAAAGTGTGAAATATGCTTTTTCCCCTCTCCCTCCCCAATGTGGCTCCAATCTTTCCACTGAGATAAAAGGCAACGCCCTAAGGAAACCACCACACGACGGGGTAGCCGTACAGTAGCCGAAAGAATGCGCCTAATGACAGTGTTCTTTAGCACACATGGTCTTAGTTAATCATTCCCCTGTCCAGGCCCCCGCAAATGTAAGTGATGTATGTGATATAATGCAAATAAAGATTGATTCATGTATTTACTATAAATGTGGTATCTTCATTCGTTTAGGCAAT